ATCTAGGGAAAGAGATAACGCTTGATATCTGTGTGACGTCGTAATATATACAATAAAATGTATTTTCACAAACTGTCACGCGTTTGACAAACGCGAGGGACTTCGTAATACGTTCAATATCTATATATACGAATATGAATGAGAGGATTATTGTCGAACGTTGGTTTGAATCAACGCAAAGTTACGGCCATGTAATTTATTCGCGAACTGCTGTATGCTACTGTATTTGACACGAATCGGTTTTTTTGACAAAGGAAAACGAGTTTCTTCAATGCCATTTTCCCTAGTTTCTAAATATTATTATATGCAAAAAATATTATTATTATGCAAATTCAACATAATTCGATATGATATTTAAAGCGTTGGATTTTTAAAGACAAAAGACCAATAAAAACTAGATATGGGCCAACAAGATTAAGATTTTAGACACGTCATCGTTATCTAGGCATGGTGAATGGAAATATGCCTACATAAATGGATGAAACAATTACGATATTTTCTACCACGGATGAGTCAACATGTGCGTCGCACGTCGATCTTGACGGTACCAGTCTCGACAGAAGACATATATTTGTCATTGATTCATATGCCGGTGCTCTTCCGTGCGTGCTAATATGACTTTAAGAGAACAAATATGACTAAAGAGATAACATTATGAAATTAATGATCTTGATATGCACACATGTGAGCTGTCATCGAGTAAAAATATATTTCGTTAATTTGGCTACAGTAATTTTCCATTTTTATAACAAATACTATCTAAATTATTTTTGTGCTTTTATTATATCGTTGAACTTTTATATCTTGCGCACTTTTTATCTTATATTTCTTCTTAATAATAATTCATACATCGTATTACTTTCTTTGGTTACACGAGAACTTTTGTATTTGACGCTTTTGTATATTACCCTTAATCAACTAAACTCGAGCTTTTTAAAAGCCAATTGTAAAGTCTAATCGCAGACTATTTGCGGCTAATGAGTTAATGCGTTTGCTAAATCGTGAACACGTGACAGATTATGCGCCGAGTGTCGAGAAAAGATCTTGACAGGAAAATTTCCGTTATTTCTTTTTTAAAATCGTCGTTAGAACCGTTGTCATTCTATAAAAAGATGTCAACGACAACTTGTGCATAATTGTATGCACAAGGAGACCGTAGTTTTAAATTACTAACAATAAGTAAACATCAGTATGCTGTGCAGATACTTTAAAGACAATAAGATGAAGAATTCTACTCATTTGATTTATGCAGTAAATTATAATTCTTACAAATATATGATATTTTTATCTTTTAAAATTAAAGTGTCGCTCAAACAAGATGATATAATTACAAATATTATAATAAGTTTACGTGTCGTTATTTATTAGCAATTTGCGGACAATGAAGTATAAGACGTTTCTGTAATAGCTTTCTTTATATGATAATAAAAATTATATAACGTAAATGCGTGAGAGAAAATAAAAATACAACAATAAGATTAATTAAAACTAGCTAATGATATGATCGAAACTATCGAGCATCGAGAATAAACATTTAATTGCCTACAACAATTTTGTGTCGATATAAAAATAACAACTGATAGCATGAATAATTTAAAACATTTATAAACATATAAAATTATCATGTAAAAATACACAATTCAAGAATATATCAAAAAAGAAAGAAATGGAAGAGATATAAAAACATCTCAACATAGTGCTATAATGTCTTTTATTTTTTTTTTGTAAAGATTTTGCTAATGGCAAGATTTTAACAAGATTAGATCTTAACAATAAATAACGTACAATGACAATATTATTCTTTATTATTATTAGTCTTAGCCTATTTCATATATCGACATGTAAAATTGTAATAAAATTATAAAAAACGAGAATTATATATGTATGTAGTAGCAGCAAATTATCGTGATTCAATATTTTATTTTTCAGATAATCGAAAAATTTCTTCTTGGGTCAAATTATTCCTGACTTTTTTTATATTAAGACAACGAAAAATGTCGATAATTTCCAATTGCTTGTGCAATAAAACTTAGGAATTGAATAGTCGAGGGAGAATCCGTTCAAAGTAGAGGATTGAAATAGTAGTAGTATTTAAATTATGCACGTCGCGTCTTTCGAAAGACAACTTAAACGATTGCTCGGCAATCGATTGCAGCGGAGCAAGAATCGGCGACGACGACGACGACGACGAAAGCAGTCGCCTTCGGCTACTCGCGGCCTCCTATTATACTAGCTCTTCCGCATCATAAATTATAGCGACTGGTACACTCGGGCCGGAAGGATCACAGGAAGCGGGCCACGAAGCCGAAAACAACAGCGTGATCCACATTGCAATCGACCCGTGAAATGCATTTTCGCGAAATTACCAGCGGCCTGTGAATGAACACGATGCGATGCGGCGCGACCGATCCGAAAATTCGTCCCAAAATCCCGGCTACATCGGACATACGCAATTACTTTTAATCAAACTGTCTGTTGTTTGCAGGCCACCGTGTGTCGGTGCGGTTATTGAACGCACGACTTAACGGCGCGTTCGATCCAGACCTAAATCTCTCTTTCTCCATCTCTCTTTCATTATTAATCTATCGTACGCTCATGTATATTTTGTGACTAATCGCATCGGCGAAACAATAGCTGACGCAATCGTGTACCGCGAACGAGAACGCGATATATGTCATTATGCTTCGATGACTCAATGCAAAATAAGTACAATTAAAAAATTATTTCTTAGATATTCCATCACATATGGATACAATGTATCATTAAATACAAAAAAAAATCTGTCAAGAATCAATTCTCAAGAAATTTCAAAGAATAATAAAAAGAATTGATTAGATTGAGTAAATTGCGCTACTTACTAAATGTCTATTATTATTTGATGTATAATTACATTGTAGAAGATATAAATATTTCTAAGATTCAATTATTTAAATATCTTCTTTTTTTTAAAAAGAAGTTAAATCACTCGATAAGTTCGTTGTTTGACAAGCTGAAATTTTTTATGCTCCGAATTATTTAAGTTCAAGGAGATAAATCAACTTAAAGCTTGTTTTTTGAGCTAATTCTGAGCGAATTACAATTTTATTGATATTGATTTTGTAATAAGTGTATTTGATAAGTGTATTTGACATTTATAAACAAATTATTTCCGCTATTAACTCAGCATTTAATTAACACATAGGTAATAACTATAGTCACGACATGGAAATACCTACAGATAAGTGCAAAATTAGATTCACACGATATATATAAACGACCAAACAGACGATCCATTTATGTACAATGGATTAGTTCTATCCACCGTAACTACAATTTTGCGTAGATATATGAATTGTTCATATAGAAAAAATTCGTAGAAGTAACAAAGCATAGACAACGCATGTTTCCTTTAGTCAAGATAATAAAAAAAAATATGTGATTTACGTGATTCCAACTATTGTATGTGAACATTCTTAGAAAATGACACGGTTACATAAATTTACAGCACGGACATGTTCAATCATCAACAAGATAATTGGATATAATAAGAAACTATTTCATTATGTAATTATCATTTTTATCAACATTTGCAAAATGAATCGAAAATTATAGATAATTTTTGCACTCTAATAATAAAACAATGCAATAATTAAAAGGTGCAATTGAAGTTCTAAATATATTTCGTCTTTAAAACGCAAATTCATCGATAAGGTGTGATTGGATATAATAAGAAACGTTTTATTATATAATTGCGATTTTTATCAACTTTTATAAAATGAAGAAATTATATATAATTCTTGCATTTTAATACTAAAATACAGCAATAGTTAAAAGATGTAATCAAAGTTTTAAATATATTTCACCTTTACTCTAAAACACAAGTTTCTTTTCGATACTTTTTGATTTATAAAATTTTTATCTATTTAATTATTTTAATTAATAATTAATTATGTTTTTCATACATTCATATTTTGAAGAAAAATTATAGAAGACAGATTTTATAAAAGCATTTATTTAAATAGTAATTAAAAGAGTAATTATTTGGAATAGAGTATATTACCTTGCGGTTGGAAGAGTAGCGAGGGTTTCTCGTGTTTCAGGGTTAAAGCATCTCGTCAGGCAAGTTCCACTTGTTTTCGAAGTTTCTCGACAGCTCATGTAGCGGATTTCTTACGCAAAATCGCGCAAGCATAGTAGCGGTACACCGATGTGCGTACCTGCGTGTACACACAAGCGTGTTGCAAGATGCACGATAATTATTGTGTACCGCTGCACTAGTTGGCCCGTCACCGCGCACGTGATTTCCATAATAATAATAATAATAATAACTCACATATACACGCACACACGCTTATACGTATCACCCTCGGTTACATGTACATACGATAATCTAAGGATTCTCCGTATCAAATATCCCTCCCCTCTTCCGTTGACCTATATTTTCGCCGAGATTATAGAATCTTTCAATACATATATATTTTATTGCGTTCTGAAAATATTACTCGCGCCATTTATCTTTTCGTATTTTTCTCGAAGAGTCTCGTAAATATTCTCGCATGCAAACTAAATCGACGACGTGAGCGATAACATTTACCCGGAAAAGCGATATTACTCATCGGCACTTGTGCGTCTTGATTTTCGTTTAAAGTTATCAATAACAACGGCGTAGAAAGGCGCGTAGCGAAAAATACGACGAAATTTCGCGCAACGCTAACGGGCTCGGTATTCGACACAATTGCTCGCTGACTCGCGCAAAACCATATAAATGATACGAAAACACGATTGTTAATGCGATAAATTATACGGCTTATACAAGCGGCAAGGCAAAATTATAGGAAGAGACCGGTACAAGGAAAAATCACGATATGTGAGTCATCACATGCCGCGCCCCGCCATACTTGCAGTCACGTGCTGTTTCGCGCCACACTTGCTGTCACATATCGCGCCACGGTCGCGGTCACGTGACTAGTGTCACGTGACCACTCTCGACGCGTTATTTACCGGCCCGACCGCGATCGGGGGATCGTATAAAGCCGGCAAAAGTCGCGGGACAAAGCATCGCTGTTTTCCGCGGTCCGGTCTGGTTCGGTTCGGCGAGTAACCTTGATTCCTTCGTGAGTTATACGTGACAGGCGTTCGCCGAGTCTGCTGGGTGAACCGGTTAGTGTCGATCGAAGCATCGTCGAGGCAACAGCCAACGAGATCCCTAGCGAGTTTTCGAATTGTCGGAGTTCCTTGTGCGACAAAATGAAGTTCCACATTGCTCTTGTTGCTGCGTGCCTTATCGCGTGCGCGCATGCTTTTCCGAGTAAGTAAGACTTTCTTTTACATTGGCTCTTTTCTTCTTTTTTTGCGTTTTTTTTGCGAAATCGAACAAATCACGTTCTGAAAATTTTTAGATTAAAATACATGAAAAACTGGTATTAATTTATTTATTTGCGAAATATATAATAGAAAAATTTCATGTTTTTTTTCTGGTCTAATCAATTTTTCAATCTAAATTCATTTTTTAACGTAAATTACGTGGAACGTGACTCTGGAATTTTAATTTCCATAAATTTTACATATGGAAATTACCATGTGTATGTTTCATGTTTCTATTCTTTTTAACGGGTGTTTTATTCATTAGCAATTTTTTACATCTCAAATTATTCATTAATAACTACACTCGTTATATGATTGGTTCATGACAACGATCCGTAAATATAATTTTTGAAATGTGCAATATGAATAAAGCTTAATAAAATTAAGCCATAATCCGCGTTTTTTCTTTCTCTATTTTATATTTTATAATAATTTTATAAAATTTTATATATTGTAAAAAGTCACACACATATATGATTGTTATGATCTTTCTTAGATTAGAAAACATATTGTCATTTAATTATTATTTAGAATTATAATCATCATTTGCAATCTTTTTTTAAATAGCCTTTTTATGAAATTAGATTATCGATAATGTCAGATAATGAAATATTCTGTTATTTTTGTTATGTTGTAATCGGCTTGAAAGATAAAATGCGGCTGCTATCCGTTAAAATGCGATGTTAAATCAATTAAAACCACTGCATAAAAACAGATTTTAATTTAATATCGTGCAGTGAATTAATGTAACAATTATTTCCAGCCACCGAACTATATATATTAAATAACTTTTCAACTTACTCCGATTTCACATTTATTTATATATTTTCTTATAAATAAATTTATGTATTTGAGTCTTCGTTCTTTTCAAATAATAAATTGAGCTTTGATATTTTATATGGCCGAACAACATCTCAAAATATGACATATTTTAAACTAATTTTATATTTTCGAGCCTCCATAATTTTTATAAGCAAAGAAATTATTCGGAATCTTCGAATCTTTCCAACTTTTTCATCTTTTATGCATTTCGGATCGTACATTTTAATAAAATGTAATCTATAAATTGTTTATTTTCTCTATACATCTCCGTGAAACTTTGCCGCGGCTCCATTTGTCGCATTGAGCGATTCTTCAGAATTATTTGCATTCGGCTCGCGACATTTATGCGTCGTTATAAGGCAAAGCGGGCGCCCGACAAGCAAATATCTCGATTGAATGTCAGATCACGAAGAAATCGTGGAAGCAGATAGCACGCTCCAACTACTTAAGGCCGTTGTTTACTCGATTACAACTCGATATGAAATTCACTTCCAGCGTAGACTTTGCTAATTAGCATCGGCCCCGTTTTTGCGAGACGGGAACGGCAGGAAGCTCGTTTAATTGGAGCTGCTTCGTCCCCAAGATAATTGTCCAAACGAATTCTCCCATCGAAGTCCAATTTATTCCTTTGATTTTAATATAACTTTACTTCTCGAACCGGCGTTTGTGTGTCTCGGCTCTTTTAATCGCGCGAGAATCTTTACAAAAATAACACGATCTGACTTTTCTGGCAAATTACAATTTAATTGCTAATTTATTGGGATTTCTCTTTGATAAAATCGAGATATTATACTTTACAATATTTTCAATCATACCTGGCATTATTTTCGTGAAACAATTTGTCGCATTAATTTTTTATATAGCAGATATAATAATTTAAATAAAATGAGTTTTATCTAAATTCTCTTGCATTTTAAAAAAATTGTTTTATTTATACATAAACTTTATATATTTAAAAATATTTTTACTTCGGCCTTGTTAATTACTGTTATTAATTTGACAATAGAAAGTTTCCGCAATTATTTATATCATTTTTACGACGCAAGCAACTTTAAGTCTAAGAGAAATTGAGGAGTTTGCATTTTCAAATAATTGTACATGCATAAATGCATGCCGCATTATTACGACCAACATTTGTAAAACAGTCTGGAACTTCACGTGTATTCTCGTTGAAACACCAAATGATACGAATATTTTAACCAGTGGCATCGTGATGTACCACCTATTACAACATGTCGTAAATAACTTTTGCTAAAACTCTATAACTGAAACTTTTAGATTATTAACTATTATTATAAAAAATATTGGAGACTCGCTTATGAGTGATAATTCAGCCCATGTGGAGAGCATAATTTCTAATTATCGAATCATCAGCGGCCCATCGAGCTGTTGCAGATACGCAGCGTATAATAGTGCAATTAAATTTCTTTCACCATAGGGGTGAATGTTACACGTCTATTATCGCGTACTCCTCGAGGAGTACGACGCCTCCGGCGAGATGTTTCTCTTAAGCATGACGTACCTGCCAGTTTCCATGCCGCGAAACTTCGCCGCTACAACGCGGTCTCCGCAGGAGAGAACGTCTGCTCTCATTACGTTCGCTGACAGCTTGGTGATAGCCAGATAATAATGTAATTTTTGAGACTTTGCCGGGACGGCGGCCAACAAGCTGGTGAAAATCGAGTTTCGGCGAGTTTCGATCGCGAACACATTCGCTCGGATATCGTCCTGCATTCTAGTAGACAGGGATACGAAGTAGCAAGTCTGTCAGCGTCAAACAGCCTAGCGAATCGTGCTACAGGGCGGAATCTGTATATAAGCAGATTGTGCTTAATCCTATTAAGAATACGTAATCGTCGTGCTTACCACTGGGTAAACACGCCTCGTCTTTGAGGCAAGCTTTGCGTAATAATTATCTGCAATCGTAAATCTCTCGTGCAACGAACATGACGTTTAGCATTATCGCGAACGCGGTGTGTTCTCCGTCGTTGCTGCGGTTCGCTTACGAATAATTACGCTTTATATAGAAATCGATACGATAATAGTCGAATTTGCGAGAAATGCGCTTCCATCCATTACACGCGATGTAGATGTATTGTTGATAAAGGGGAATACGCACATTTACGCATTTAATGATCGATTACATTGCTAACTTAATCTGATGAAGCATAAATATCTGCTCTTCAAGCATAATCATCTGAGATATTTAAATATGACTTATGAACGCACGCGCGTATTATATAATATTGCAAAATATAAAGTCACGTTGGATACATTTACTTATATGTCATCAGTCAGGTAATGCTTGACAAATTTATTTAAAACTTAAAAATACTTCTCTCTCATTAAAATCGTTAGCTTTCATAATGCTGTATAAATATGCATTATAAAAAATACATAAAATTACATGTGAGAAGAATAAAATTATAAAATTGCTAAAATTATTAATTTCATGTAATTTAGTAATATCTTTTTGCGATATATATTTTATCATTATTAATTTATTACATTAATAACTTTTCCGTTTTATAGCCAATACAAACACCGATATTAATCTTTTCTCTCTTACGTCGCATACGCGCGGGTATATTTGCATTCGCATAAAAATGTGTCGCCTAAATCACTCCACTCGACGCCAATTACAGCGGGAAAGAAATCGTGACTAATTACTTCCCATATATCGCTCACTCTCTGATTAGTTGATTCACGTAGCGTCGCAACGTGGCAGTTGCGCAATCCGGTAATGTAATTCCTTCTTCCTATGTTCCGCATCGCGATCGACGAGCCTTCTGTCACCGGCTTCCCTTTCACCCGCCCTCTTCACACGTGCAATCATACCGATGTATGTGTATGTGTCACACCATTTGCTTATAATGCGGATATAACGCATGCTATATATGGTATACAATATAATTATATACGGCAAAGAGTAATAATGAATTCTGATGGGGAATATCTTTATGCCTTTAAATTGCCTAGCTAAAGAAATTTTTTTTAATTTAATTTTTATAAAGGGTGTCATCGATATTTCGTTTATTATTATTATAATAAATACAGATTATAACAAATAATAGTAAATTTGAAAATAATTAATAATTTATATATACAAATAAGTTATATAAGAAATAATTAATAAATTAGATAATAATTAATAATTTATATATATATAATATATATAATGCTTATATGGAATTTTTATTAATTAAATAAGAATTATATTCTTGTATAATTAATTAAATTTTTAAAATTTTTATTTTATCTTTACTGCTGTTCTCACGTGAAAATTTAGAAAATATTCCTTCCAGGTATTATTATCCTTTGCTGTATTTCGCACAATTCCATATGCAGAGTGTCCTTGCGTGTTGACGGCTTAGTTTGTTGTACCCCTCCGTATCTGGAAGCGAAGTGCTGCCGCGGATTATGACCAACTCATATTATTTTCCTGTCGCGAACAGTCTGACCCCGTTGACGTAGTGTTGGGCTTGCCTTGAGTGGCAGTGGCACTGCAGAATATGCCGTTATTAAGTATGCAGCTTGCATCCTACCACCGCCTTACGGTCATTTAAATGAAAAAAGGCAGTACGCCGCAAACGTTTTGTCAGCGCATCTTTTTTTTATTTCTTTTGCACAGTCTCCTGAGGTCAATATCCTGATCGAGAATTATTACGCGCAATAATTATATAGAGCAAAATCTATCCGATATAATCTTCTTATGATTTGTTAAATGTTATATCACAAATTATCGTTGATTAATAATCAACGATAATTTGTGATATATTCAATAATAAAAATAAATACTATAAATGCATATATATAGAGATATAAGAGAATCAGAACTTATTAAATTATTTTTATTTAGCACTTTTGTATCAGATTAAAAAAAAAAAATATATATATATATATATATATATATATATATATACGTTAATATTTATTTAAAAATATAGTTAACAAACAAATCAAAATATTATTTTTAAATATTTTTAAATATTTGTTAAAGTTTATATATTTTTTATCGCATATGTCTGATAAAGCGAATAGTTTGACATATAAGCCAATGAAATATATATCAAAAAATTATTCAATTGCAGAATTCACATTTTACTTTGCCACTTAGTCTTT